CCTTATAGCCGTAATTAATTATTGCTCTGTGAGATGAAACTCGATTTACATAACAATTTGGTATGATGACATGTGATAGGCCTTATGTTGTATTGTAATCCTGAGTGCAAAAAAGCAAATCCGAAACCTCGTCTGAAGTTATTATTATGTCATCCAGAAGAGTCAGCAATTATATAACTTGTTATGAAACGAATATGTACATTGTAAGTATTACAGCATTATGGAATTAATACGTACCTGTAACGATTACACTATGAAATAAATACGTATCTAGTTAGGATTACACCATTATAATGCACCCGCGGGTTGTAATGATTGCACTATCATGTAATGAATACGTATATTTCATTATGAAATTAATACGTACCTTGTAACGATTACAATATGAAATAAATACGTATCTAATTAGGATTACACCATTATAATGCTATGAACTTAGTAATGATTGCACTATCATGTAATGAATACGTATATTTCATTATGAAATTAATACGTACCTTGTAACGATTGCACTATCATGCAATGAATACGTATATTTCATTATGAAATTAATACGTACCTTGTAACGATTACACTATTATGAAATAAATACGTATCTAGTTAGGATTACACCATTATAATGCATACAAACGTAATAATTGCACTATCATGTAATGAATACGTATATTTCATTATGAAATTAATACGTACCTTGTAACGATTACACTATTATGAAATAAATAGTACTTTGAAACGATTGCACTACGAAATAAATACGTACTAATTATTACATACGGAATGGGTATGCACATTGTATCGATTACATTATTATGAAATGAATGCTATTTTTTACTTACTTCACTACAAAATGAATATATATTTAGTATTGATTACATTATTAAATAAATAAATAATCACTTCAATGAAGGGGGTTCAGTTTATTTTAGCTTTATTTTAGTCTTATTTTTATCTTATTTCTGTTCTTACTTGTATAGTCAGTTAACTAGCTTTTATTATATTTGTTTGAGCCCATTACTGTATTGCATTGTTTTATTGTTTTGTATTAGATTTGTCTTTTGTTTACTATACACTTTATTACACTTTATTACACTTTAAGCTTTATTCTAGTTTTATCTATCTTATTTGTATTTATTTTATTTTATTATTTTATTATTTTAGCTTATTACTGTAATGCATTGTTAATATTATTTATTTTATTATAATCGCAATTTGTAGCTGTGTGTACACTCATTCTAATAATGTGGATGGAATAATAGGCAGAAACGCATGTTCACAATGTTTCCGTTTGAGGGCGCACTTCACGTCTTGGCTCGATGTGTTACACTTAACCTCTGGCGTCCTTTTTGCTTCCAAATATTCTTAATTTCACGTTCCGGTTCCGGGTTTTTTGGACAACCCACCCAGTAGCGTATTGGTAGCCATCTTGGGTTTATGTAAAAAACGGTTTACTCTCGTAATGCCTATAATAAAACCCTTTGAACTTTGGTCCCAGAAAAAGATCACAAGACCCACGAATAATCATATTAAAATACTGTAAAATGACTAATTTTCACTGGGTTTAAATTTCACTGATTTACCATTTCAGGCATATTCAGTGGGTTTTAAATTCACGGTTTTATCATTTAGATAATGTGTTCTATGCTAAATTTTACATATTCACTGTGTTTTAATTTAGCGCATTTTTCCAGTCAGCGAAATAAGCTAAATTAAAACCCAGTGAATAATTACCCCCTTTACAGTATCTTAAAAATAGCAAAATTCGAAAATTAACAAAAATGTACTTCGAAAGGCGTATTCTCATGCAAATCATTGATATTATTTGTCTCCCGATATGGTCGCGATCAATCATCCCGGCTCTTGGATTACAAGTGGTTTGAAATACGTGCCCAGTTTCTAGTGTCAGGTGACACACGTCACTTGTTCCCATCTAGATTGGAAGCATATGACCATTTAAGATCGCATGAGCTTGTAGACCATGCCAGAAATGAACGGCAAGGTTGCCATAATAACTGGAGGTGCTGACGGTATTGGAGAGGCCTTGGCCAACGACTTCTTGAACCGTCAAGCGAAGGTGAGTTCAACTAATATAAAATATTAAACTCCTTAAACTCCTAAGTTGTGGTACTCGCATTCACGTATAGAAATAATTAGACATTTGACCATTATTTTCGCTACTTTGACCTATCATTTTTGACACAATGTAGAATGTACAATTCTGGCCGCTGTTGTTGTCACTAGTACTCGCCGATGACCTGAAACAAGGTCATCTGTACTATAATTTATGGGGACTACCCTATGTTCCGACACCCCTATGTTCTGAAACACAGTATACTTGCTTCAAACTTAATTTGACTCGCTCTCATGCGGCCACAAGTGATTATAATGCACATGGTACCCTGCGTTACCTTTGACTGCTATGACCTGTAACCAGGATGTCCTGTTGGTTAATACTGAGAATACTTAATTTTTTCCCTCAGGTGCTCCCTGTTTGAGGGCGTGATCGCCTGGGTCAAAGGTGAGACCAACATGTGGTCTTTTGATTACTACGAGCGGCTGTGTACCTGTGTGTTTATTCTGTGTGTATTTGGATGTTCTAATCTTGGTGTTTTTCCAGTGATTTCTCTAGGTGCAATCTAAATACAGTAGGTGTGTCTTGTTTACCTGAAATTTGCAAGAGTTTGAGCTGGCCAGCATGTTAGTTTTTTCATGTGGTTGATTACTGGCATGTTGATTTCCCATTTTTGAGCCATATTTTCAACTTTGTTCATCATTTTCATATAGCAATCTTGTCATATGTTAACATTGTCGTCTATGGAAATTTAATTAGTGGTATGTAGTAAACCGGAGTCCGTCCATGATGCCCGAATATCCATAAAGGCGGGATCTTGCATATCTGTATTGGATAATTATCAGAGAATTATCAAACAATGTTGCCCATTGTATCAGTCTAATATTTCGACAATTATTTGACAATACCGGTGTGTACTGGGAGTGTTTCCAACCTTAAATCCTCCGATAGCCTAAGTATCGAAGTTTTAGATCGATATTAGATCGATAATTATCGGAGAATGATTTTACCCTTTTTATGAAAGTTGTACTTATATTCATCAGTCGCGGGATTTCAAGGTTGCTGTTTATATCCAGTAGCACCTTTCCAAATTTATCTACGTTAATTAAAATCATTTATTTATTTATTATGCAAGAGATAAATAGGCACTGAATTTGGCATTCCGTTGTGTTTGCATAAGTTTTTGAGATTGGCAAAAAATACAAAGGTTGCACACTATCTCTTTACATTCCCATATTGTGTATTTTCGGCTAACATTCTTTGTTTACCTCCACACGTTATACGTTTTCTATCAATCTAAGTCATTGATAGTTCTCAGAGAATTATCGGAGAATTCCTTGTTTTAAAAGAAAACACATTACTCAGCTGTAGACTTCGTCTAATATTGATCTAAAACATCATGAATTATCAGATAATTAATTATAATTCAAATGTACAATAGGCCGGCTTCTTCTAATGCCAGGAGCCGGGATATTGAACAAGGCCATACTACCTGCAAGTTTGAATCATAATTTACCGTTCAATGTTAAATTCCATGTTAGACAACATTTACATCAGAATTCCACATTTGATTTTTTTAATCTTAAAATTTTTGCCCATTCTCCCATAATTATCTTATTGTTAGATCGATATCAGAGAGGGATCTACATGAGCAATACGTCGGAGTATGGTATTTTAATATTTATCAAATTTGAAGATAGCCTTGAGTTGCAATCATTAAAATCAACGGGTACTCGTGATTTGATTGAAACCGAAATTAAGTTCATAGTTGAATAAAGTAATCCAGATCCAGATTTTTTGTATAAGGTTGATCCCATAAAAATCACTTTTTATTTGACACTGTGTTTATTTTTTTTAAAGCTAACACATTTACTCTGATTTTCGGAGGCAAATTATACCCTTTATATCTCAAAAATAAATCTCCCAGATTCTACCACCAAAATTGACCAAATTAATTTCTATGTTTCTGCTTAGTTTATAGCATGTAAATTTGACAGCTTTGTCTTACTATTTAATTGCACAACCAGTATTATGTAAGTAGACTGATTGCGTTGAACAGTGAAAAAAACATGTTGCTTTGTTCTACCATGGGGAGGTGTATTTGTCCACATTTGGCTTCCGAACCCAGTGGTACATATTTCATTGAAAATTTGGCACATTCAGGCGGGCTCAGGGTTTATTGGATGATCGTCGACCATAAAAGTACTGAACAACGCAAGTTAGGTCTCCCCGAGTACAAGTTGTCAGAGGTCCACACGAAGACTGTCAGGTACATAGTCTATTGTTGATCTACACGTTTGGCAATAAAAACAACTATTTTGCGTCTGTAGCTTGAAAGGATACTGCGCGTCTGAGAATATTGTTTAACATTGTAAATCTGAATGTACTATTGCCGACAATGATCACAAAACACCTCCATGAAAGCCCATGACCAGAAGAGTGGAAAGTATTCAATAATCCGGCATATTTATTCTTTTTAATTGTAAAGAAATGTAACATTGTGTTACAAACAGTGAGCGTAGGATACTATTTGAAGAAGAATAATGATATTTTTCTTATAGTAAAGAAATAAAAATACAGTGAAATGTCAAAAACGTTTCTAAAATTTCGTAGGCGTCAGAACCTATTATCATCTCAACAAAGGGTTGTCGGAATATAGGGGTGTATAATTTATCACCTTAGTCATGCGAATGACGTTTCGTGATTTGCATGGGGACTCGGTGAGCATAAAACACGTCACACACAAAACATTTTTTAATTAAAATATGTTATTGTATTTCGTGTTTCATATGTCTTGTATTATAATAACAATGGTATAACACCCAATGTAAATACCTTTAAGGTAGCGAATAATTTATTGGCATGACAAATGTAAACACCTATAATAGGGATAAAATTTACAACATATAATCTATACATTTTTGGAAAGCCCCTGACTTGTACCTTTTTAGTATTACAATTTTGTGAAAATTGCGCTTGTTTTAGCGTCTCTTGATTCTGAGATTCAGCGGGACCACGGTTACTTTTTAGTAACCGTGGTGGGGCTGATAATTAACTAACGTGAACAAATGTCAGCTGTACGGTTATTCATGCAACCACAAACTTCACACTGTTTTGAAGCAATAGTCATGAAGCTTAAATCAGTATTTCTATTTTTTTACATTTCTGTCTTTCTAAAAATTAGAAATTTCTAGCATGTTTTTGGTGTTAAAGTTAGTGTATACCAGTGGGTTACGTGTTGGTTGTGAAATAACGCCATAGAACTTCCCCAAAAATGTAAATACGGACATGAAGCCAACATATTGGAGAGTCAGAAAAGCCAAACAGTGCCATGGTAGCGCTACTCACTAAAACGCCATTTAAAATTAGGCCAACTGTATTTGTCAGAAACCGAACACCGAGAAATCTGCACTTTTATGATTTTAAACTTCAAAGAAGGTCAGCTCCCATTTTAGCAGCAAAATGTATATGTACTAATAGTAAATAAAGTAATTTGAATGTTTTTATTCACGAAAAATTACGAACTGACATTTATATATGTAACAAACTTTATAATTTGACCGTTTTCTTTCACGCTATGAAGTTTTGAGACGGTCTGTGCCCATAACGAACGGTGACGTCACTCATTACAGCTGGGATTATGCAAAGTAGGCGGTTCTGTTTGCAACACAAATACTACACTGGGCAGTTGAAGTGTTTGTCAAGACCCCCCCCCCCCCGCGCGAGCAAACTTGCGCAGAATTCAGTGGAAATGAAATGGCGGGTCTTTGTAAGTGCGGGTTTGGGAAAATGAGTCAATTTTCAACACGAGAATATTGTTGATCAGCCGGCGAGTTCGTTTTTGTTGGACTTGTTATTTCCAGGAGGGACCTTTTACAGCGTCCTTGCAAGTTTAGTTTTCATTTTACCAGCATAACCTAAAGCGATTTTCAGACGAATTCGAAGTGTACACCGTCCCATCTCACCCAATTGTACGTTTTACAGTACATTTATATGCACCTGTTTTGCAAGTACGACGAACATTGGTTTGACTTTGGTTAGTAACAACCATCAGCAGCTAAATTCAAGTCCGTTATGATCGCCAATAATCGCGACTGACATTGACATTGAAGCTAAGCGTTGATGACAAAACCATGGTAGTAAATAGACTCATACATTTTATTTTACAGGGAGTGTTTATTATCGACATCAACGAGAAGAAGGGACAAGAAACGCTAAACTCTCTTAAAGAAAAGCACGGCGCTGGACGAATTCAATTCCGAAAATGTGACGTCAGAAACACAGATGAACTTGAAGGTAAATAAATGAAAGTAACACATACATAGAAAAGTATATATTGAATATAATTAATGTCAACAGTGTTTTAATTGTTGCCTTCGACTATTGTTGTATTTGACACACGGTACTAAGTTATATTTAACTCTCATGAATTCAATTTATATACATTTGCCAACAGCTGTTTTCAAAGACTGCTTGGACCAGTATGGTCAATTAGATATTGTTTGTAACAATGCAGGTATTCTCAATGAATATACACGTAAACTGATGATAGATATCAACTTGGTAAGTGTCGTCGTAATGTGTTAGTATACACTATTGAACATGTTGATATCTTAATTGACAAAACTGTTTCTCCAATGAACAGTGTATATTTCAGATCGACCGCTGTATGAGCCTCGAGTTCGAATGTAGCCTTCGGGATTTCTTATTAACACAATAAAACTTGGGTAGTGTTACATCTTCGATATCCTATAAAAGTCATATTTATGAAGATAATTGCTCATAAAATTATTAGAAAAGTTAATCAGTCAATTCAAACTCGAAAGCAGCACGTTTTGTGTATATACAATCCCAAATAAAGTCAAATTTATTTAAGGTTTATACCCAAGTACGAAGCAGCACAAGCGGTTTATGCGATCTGTGGCGTACTTGGTTGTTTTTTATTTGTGGTGAAACTTTATCAATTGTTTGTATGTGTTTTGGAATGTTGTTTCAATAATCTTTTTCACACGCATTGTGTATGTAATACAGAGCGTATATCGAACACGACGTTGTACATGTCATTCTGTGACGTTGTGTGATGAAGTATGCATAGAACCATTAAGTTGAAAAAGCAATGTATTATTTCAGACTGCTGTCATAGAAGGAACATACCTTGCCGTGAAATACATGGGAACACAAAATGGCGGAAAAGGAGGTGTTGTAGTCAATAGTGCGTCAATATCTGGTGAGATGTAACAACATTTTTCTAAGTCGTACAGATACATAAAGTGTAGTACAATACTGTTATGCATTTTATACACTAATTTGAATTAACATATGATTTATTGAATTATATTGGTGTTAGACTGGCAAAGTCGGGATATCTTTTTGTTTAATTGTAAATTTAGCCTTTTTAGCGTGATCGCGGTCACGCTAGTTTTCGCGATCACACTAAAAGACTTATCACAAATATATTTTGCTTTTCGACTACATTGATGTTTATCTGCTATTGTTTTTATTAGGTTTGCGTCCCCAGCGTTTAGCCGCTGTATATTCAGCAAGCAAGCATGGAATTGTTGGATTCACACGAAGTGTGGCGGTGAGTTTGACATACTAAATATAAATTGTTAAATCAGAAGAATTGGAACAAGACCACTAATAAATTGTTGTTCCTTTTTATTCTCAAAAGCAGTTCTGTAATTAAGAAAGTAAGCTTGCACATTTTTTTCAGGTCAGGTTATATGTATATGTGTTTAGACCATATACAAGTCGATAGTGGTATGACTTGCATGTTATATGTAATCCGGTAAACAATTTCATCGCGGTTTCATTTGATTTCACTCAAAAAATCCGCGGCCACTTCTTAGAGCTGGTGACCTCAATAGAATATGATTGATTGTATATGAATAACTATGTACAGATCTAGAGTTTTGAATTAGTTATATCATACTAAATGTTTTTAGTATTGTTTTTGGGGTTGCAAGAGTGATCTTCCTTTATTTTCTACATCGATAGGATAACATATATTTACATTTTGCAGTTTGAGCCAGACGTTGTAAGCAATGGAGTTCGTGTTGTTGCTATATGTCCGAATCTTATCGACACAACACTGGTTCCCATTGCCTTGGAGAAAGGGGTGAAATACACAAAGGAATTAAAACAAGATATAACAGCCAGGCCAGTACTAAAGTAAGTATTATGTATATGCTTTGAATAAAATGAACATTCCGTTTAAACATATGACATATGTATGCTTGGTCAATCACAGTGATTATTACTAGTATAAAATACTAATAACAACAACAGTCTGTGTACAGTTACGATTGACTGTGGTAAAAAAATGAATTATGCAAGGGTGGTAAAAAAAGCTTACCCACGTGTTTAAATTTATTAAGTAATATTATTATGTGAATAATACACATCATACAAAAGATAGGTTTATTTAAACTTATCATTAGTGATAATGAAGATTAAGGTGAAAACGTGGTCAATGAAAAATGCTGTAATATTACATGAATATACAAACAAATTATTCGGCGAGTATTCACTCAGTATTTCTTAGTTATTTTATTAATTCTCGTATAACCATGATATACATTGAGGATATTCGTGCTGAAAAAAGAAGAAGAATGTAAAAATATTATTTCTAATTGTCTGTCTAGCGTAGAAACATGACACAAACAATGTAATTGGATGCAGTTGGATACTGATATCATCAACTTAGCATATATTTGTATTAACTTTAAAATTTAAATAAAGTAAATAAAAAATAGAATATGGAGAGATAATAATAATATATGGGAAATGTATCTGCTGCATTGTTGTTGCAAACTTTTGTTTCTTGTTGTTACATTAACTCAAATGTTGGTGTGACTAGATTCAAAATGTTCTGAGATGGGAAATCAAAGTTCAATCCATTATGCCTGCCGAACCATGACAAAAAAGAACCACGGGAATAGAGTTTTTACTCAAAATCCGAGATGGCGACAAAACCACATGACTGATCAATATTATTTTTTGTTTTGTTTGTAAAAAGCTTTGGCCATAAGTACTAGACGCACATATATTTCAAGTCGATTGATTAAAGCACTCGTGAAAAACAAATGCTCAAATGTATGTAATGTTTGCCAAATTTCTGAGTAGTTCAGAGATAAGTGACCACTTCCTTCAAATCAATGCCTACAGGATGACAAATCTCATAATTGCTGGTGTTCTGGGGTTTGGACGACTAAAACATTCTAAAAAGAATTATTATATATAATCAATCGTATTTGTACTATTAAAAATACAACATATCTTTTATTATTACATAACATTTATTTGATTCAGATAATCACCGTAATAAACACATAACAAGTTTTATTGATGATGCACTTTCCACCAATAATTCCAAATGAAGACTAAAAGATTATTTATTTTTATAAATAAGTAGTGATACTCCAACAGCTAGGACTGATTTATATTACTTGACTAGATTGATCACATATATATCATGTCACATATATGCATATACTTTCACTTCACTATCTAAATCAAGATGGTCGAATAACCGCCATTTTAGGCAATTCATCGAAATGAAGCATTTCTGCCATCCAATAACCAGAATATACTTGGATTTTTTCAAACTTTGAACGAAACGGTGGGCTTGAACATTATGAGACCTTGATACAAGTCGCCTTGTTTTGTAGATCAAAATCAAAATGGTCGACTGGTGACCATTTTTTGTCAGTGAATCACTCTTTAATGACCATGTTTAGTTACAGCTTCAATTATTCGGTTGCAATTATCGGGATTGCACCTGTTCTACTGGGAAACTAGAATTATCACGCCATTGTTAACTATTTACCATTGTTGACAGTTTTGATTAGCGACTTGTTTTAAATCGATTTAACAGTGTTTAAGACATGCTTTCTTGTAAGCGTTTAGACGACAAATATGCCCAGCTATTAATTAAGCTATTAATTATCAAAATTGTATTCTATAAACATTCAGGATTGTACCGAAAAGAAGAATCACTCAAACCTGATATATTACCAAGGAGTGTAATATGCATATGAAATTTGGTTGCCATGGTTGGATAGTGGCAACAAATGCTTTTATTTTGTTTAATTTAATTCAACCAGTATCAGCAAGATAATCGAACCTAATCTGTTGGTGTGTTTTTAGGTTAAGTGACGTCACATCGACAGTGGTATGCCTTATTGAAGACGACAGTGCGAATGGAACAACTAGACTTATAAGAGTCGGTAAAGATCCAGAAGACATATGCCCCCCAAATATCGAATAATCGATTGAATGGTTCTCAGTTGGATGTTTCACCACACCATATGTTTCCATTATGTTTTAATTTACAAATAACATATTAACTTTTTGTAGTTTCTTGTTTAAACATGCAACATACATGATAATGAATACTTACTTGTAAAGTGGTAATATCCATTGACGGCGAAATGCTCCAAAATACTGTTTATTGTAAATGGCCACGTGATACTATTTTCTAAGCAAAAACAAAGTTGCCATTAGAATATTACTTAAAATAAAAACAAAGTTAGATAATATTACACATGTCTACATTTCCATAAACATTATACAGTTTGAGTAATGCATATGTAATGCATATGTAGTTGATTCACTTTTCAGTCGCCATGATACTTTCTAATCCATGGTTCATTTTAACATTAGATACTTGGTGTTCAAGTGCAGGTTATTTGTTTCGTGTTGGAACAAACTAAAACTAGCACATGCAACTTCTTTGACTTTATCGGGATTCCATAGTACTCATATTAGTGTGCATTTCAAATGGTTTTGTTTATTCTTGTATGCTAAAACTGGAGGTGTACACAATTAGTCTGCAATCAACTAAAATGACTAAAACACATTTTCATTGGTTGACCTGCTGTTAGCTTATGTAGCGAGCTCGCTGTACCTTGTGTATTTTTCGACACATTCCAAGACTCCACAGTTAACATATGTGCTGCACATTTGCGAGAATGCAATCACATATGCTTGGCAATTACCGTGTTGTATTTTCCTAAAGCCTTTTTTATGACTCAACACGTCCAAATGGGGTTGCAGTATAATGCAGATCTTTTTAGAAAGCTACTTCATTGGTTTCTCATTTCTGAAGGTTTCTTTCTTGTTGTACAACCTAGATTATTTTCAGACTCTCAGAAAGTGTTGTTTCAACATATCATGTACCTCGCATGTATTAGGTAATTAGTTATACTGAAATTCAAGTCCTTTGACAGTTATAATCTTTATTGCAGTCTTTAAATCTCCTCGATCCATTCATATTGGTTTATCTGTTAAGTTACTTATAACATTAGACAATTTTGATTCATGACTGGAGCATAGGGTCTATGAGAGGTATCCTCGCTCTCTAATTCCTTTATGTATTCAAATTCGGTGATGTATTGCAGTAATCGCCATGCCTGCCACATGAAAAATTCACACTTCTGTATTGGAATAAGCTCTTCGCAAACATTGTTATTATTTATACTTGCGAATAGGAATTCCAGTTGGCCACACGGTGAGGTCCATAATTTTCTCAGAGTAATCTCACTTTCAATAAGAAATGAAGAGTATGTGTGGAGCTTGGTTTTAAGTTTTTCATAATTACCTTGCACATTAAACTGCGTTTTAACAAAGCGTTGGATATCCTCAGTTGATGCTATCGTATCAATTGTTTTCTTTTGTAAACTTTTGGCAACAATCCCCTCCCTGCCTTTTGTTGTGAGACTTTGCAAGTTGTTGCCACACTTTGGTAGTTTGAATGCTATGCTGCACTTTGTGTTATAACGACACCATAGTCTCAACCACCATCGGACTTGTGCGCTATATGTGTTATGCGGTCAGTTAAAGACGGCAAATTTGCTACACTTAAACATTACTCACTGTCATGTGATTATGGCGAACCTGGTGGGAAGCATTGTATGCAGAATCTGTGCAAGGTCATCGTGAATGATGTGACCCGCGATTAGCTGGGGACACGTCAATGACCCCAAGGTCAGAACTTAGCGGGAGAGATGAACGGCGCGGGAAGTTTTTGGGACAATTGGCAGGAAGGACAGTGAGGCAACGGAGACACCGTGGTGAATAGTGAGTGTAGGACAGGCTTATCGTGGCCTGCACATCACATGGTTTGTAAGTTCTGCGACCAGTGGTTATAGGAATTGAATCGGACTTGCTTGTGAAGTGCAACTCACTGTGTGAAGTCTTGCCGTGCGTAGCGCCACGTACTTAGGCCCGTATTTTTTGGGGGGTTTTGGGTTCAGGGTGTTCAGTCGAACCCCCTAAATTTTGGAAGTGAATATAATTATGATAATAGATTAGTACATATTAAAACAAACAGTATTAATTCAAATAATTATCATCGTTTAAATTACTTGTCTCAGTGAGGTAACTATCAGACTCAGTCGAAATTGCATAGTAATGAGAATTTTCGTGTCAATATCAATCGTGAAGTAGTGGTGTTGGGTGAATGTTGAAAGCTTCCATTATGCTGTGTTTATTTCAAGCGTTGTATCTCATATTGGTTGAAATTATTTTAAGTGAAAAATAGCCGGTACCAGAAAACATGTTATATAATGCTTAAACGATTAGAGTAGACCGGAAGACTTACTTTGGCAACCCACAAACAAAAGATCTCCTGTTCAAATCACTACTACTCATTACGCAGGATGTCAGTGCTCAGAATATGTCAAAATACAACAATTTAAGGTAGCGAGACTATTATTTGTGTTGAAAATTACGATTTTCACATTTATTTATTAATTGATGAAATGCACTATAAACTTTCATGTGATAAAGTCAACATAACATAGAATGTTATGTAAGTTGGTTGATTTTCTGAAAGGAAGCAAGGCAGCCTCAGGAGGGTTTTCCAAAATCAACAACACAGGTTTAATCTGTGTGCCTATAAGTTTCAAAGATAAACTCAAGACAAAGCAATGTTAGGATGTGTTATCAGTAGCTATCTGACACACAATGAGTGTTTCCAAACATTTGAGTGGTTTGTCTCCGCCCCTGTTTGTTTCACAGATTAGTCATTTGCATATGAATGTTTCAGACACAAGGTCACACAGCCACTGAAAAAAATCATTGATTTTGGTGTTTTCATATGCCGAATTTATCCAATTATAGCTATCCCATCCCTTTATTTTTTTTGGTTTCCAATAGCCTTACACATTTGGATGTCCCTACACATGTTAAAGCAGACCTTGATGGGAAAACAAATTGATTGTGCCGATAAACAAGCTTGAAAA